GTGTGGAAATGGAGTGGGGGGAAATGATCCTCTAGTTGTTGTCCAATGAACGTAACCAATGGCAAGGGATGGTAAGAGATAAAGGTCAGCATGTCTTTAGGACATCAAATTTTGGCTGGATGGAGACCAAATCTCAATTAAACACTGAAGCTTTTAGATACCCCTTAACAAAATATCTGCCATGTTCCTGCTAAAATAAAGCCCTACCACTGGGGGTTTTTTGTGTCAAGAGTGACTTCAGAAACTGCAACTTGGTGCAGGAAGAGGAAAAGAAAAGGAAGGAACAAGATGTGTTAGGCAGTGGTTCTCAACCTGTGGGTCCCCAGGTGTTTTGGCCTACAACTCCCAGAAATCCCAGCCAGTTTACCAGCTGTTAGGATTTCTGGGAATTGAAGGCCAAAACATCTGGGGACCCACAGGTTGAGAACCACTGTGTTAGGGGAAATAATTAAGAAGAAGATGATGACAACAACATTAGGAATGAAAGCACAGCCTATTTCAGGCTTGGAACCGTGCTACCTTCCAGATGCAGATAAACTTTTCTTCCCATCACTCCCGGCTCAACAATCAGTTGTGGAAGATGAGAGTTGTAGTTCAGTAATGTTTGCATTAGCATATATTCCCTACCATTCCACTACTTGTTTGCAATGGGTTTTTTTTGTGCAGGAGGAGTCTGAGAAGGAAGAAAACCATGGGCCGGTGAGAGAGCTGTCCATAGTTTTTGCAGAGTGTTGGACTGAGATTTTGATAGACTGCAGTTTGAACCCCTGATCAGTCTTGGAAGCCCATTGAGTGACTTTAAGCAAGTCATACACTCTTAGCCATAGAGAGTAGCAAGGGAAAATTAAGTCTAAAGAAGTTTTGCCAAGAGAACCCTGTGAGAAGATTGCAATAAATTAGTGTTGACATGAAATAACACACCAAATCTATTCTATTTGTGCCTCTTTTTCTGCATCTATGAAAGAGAAAGAGTTAATCATCTCATTCAGGCACTTCAGTCCCAAATGGTAGGTGATCAGGACAGGATTAAAGATCTTTTCCGCACAAAAAAGTGTCCTGGGATAACTTTTTTCCACCTTCAAAACTACCTTTCTTGTCTCCTTCTATGCACATGGCACAAAAACCAGAATATCCTCCTTCAAGAAGCAGGGGTAGATCTCTTAAAAAGAAAAAAGGGAGGGGAAGTGTCCTTTCGCATTAAATGCTCCTTTATAAATAGAATTTCTGTCCTGTTTCCATCATCCGGGGAAGGCGAAAGGTGGTCTCTTTGGGAAATATAACTAGATCACTCTAATAGAACCTCTTTGCTTGATTATTTCCTCTCCTTCTTTGTCCTCAAGCCATTTAAAAGGAAAACAGGGGAAACAGTAGTGCTGCTAGCACAACCTAAGAGCAAGAACTGTAAAATCTCTTGTCCTATTTTTTCTCCGAATAGTAAGTCCACGTGAAAAAGAGGAGAAAGCTCTTGTATCTGATGAAATGAATTAGCATTCATAAAAGAGTATACAGTAGAGCCTTGCTTATCCAACATAAAAGGGGTAGGCAAAACACTGGATAAGCAAAAATGTTGGATAATGAGGGATTAAGGAAAAGTCTATTAAATGTCAAATTACATTATGGTTTTACAAATTAAGCACCAAAACATTATATTTTACAACAAACTGACAGAAAAAGCAGTTCAATGCATGGTAACATTATGTAGTAATTACTGTATTTACAAATTTAGCATCAAAACATCGCAATGTATTGAAACAGCTGTGGATCTGGGCAAGAGGCAGACTGCGTTGGATAATACAAAACGTTGGATGAGTAAAGGTCAGATAAGAGATTGTACTGTACTAGAAATTATTTTTCCTTGGTTGTCTCAAAGGTGCTAGGGAATTCCTTTATATCTTCTTCTGCTTTAACAATGGGTGGAAGTAAGAATTGGAGCTTAAAATACTTTTTTCCACAGAACTAATGAAGAGATACCAGAGGCAGGATCTGTTTTTCACAAGGCCACACTATTATTCTAGGTGAGCCTTCTGCTGCCTAAGAGTTGATGCTGGATTACAGTCCCATCCACTCTAGCCAGCATCACCAATGGTGGTCATGGTCGTTGGAAACTACAAGTGCAGTGATGTCCAGAAAGCCATAAACTGGTAAATTATTTAATCAGGGATCCAAGGATTCTAATGCAAAAGTCACAAATTGGCTGGCAGAATTACATCAGACCTTATTCCATTGAAAGGGCCAGAGTAGTCATTCCATCACATTCATCACAATTGTTTGTTAATCAGATGGCTACCATGAGATCCCATTGGAAACAGCCCAATAAAGTGCTTGGCATAGATGTGGGATAAGTCCATAGAGGCCTATGGTCTTTTCATTCTGCAAAATTATAGTGCTATGATTCCACCTTATTTATTCCGTATCAAAAGCATTGCATAAATTAGTATAAAATTGATAAAAATAGAAGGTGTGCAGGCGACTAAATATCTTTTGACCAAAAACAGGCAACAGCAATGGCATTATCTGTAGCCTCCAACAATTCCTCCTCTGTACATGAGGCAGGGCACAATGGACAAGCATACAGATGCAGAGTTGTCTGTTCTGCTCCACAGCCACACAAGACTGTTTCCTCTATGGAATCCTGGGACTTGTAGTATGGCTAGGTACTAGAGCAGTGGTTCTCAACCTGGGGTCCCCAGATGTTTTTGGTCTACAACTCCCAGAAATCCCAGCCAGTTGACCAGCTGTTAGGATTTTTGGGAGTTGAAGGCCCAAAACATCTGGGGAACCCAGGTTGAGAACCACTGTATTAGAGCAATGGTTCTCAACCTGTGGGTCCCCAGATGTTTTGGCCTTCAACTCCCAGAAATCCTAACAGTTTGTAAACTGGCTAGGATTTCTGGGAGTTGTAGGCCAAAACACCTGAGGACCCATAGGTTGAGAACCACTGTACTACAGCTTTCTGACTGAGAATTTGAAATATCACTCCCTAAATTGCAAATCCTAGGATTCTATAAGCTGTTGCCATGGCAGTTGAATTGGAACTATATTGCTATCATTGTGTAATGTGCACAGACAGAGGCAACTAAAGAATATGCGCCTCTGATCAGTGCAAATCACTACCGTCTAGCTGCATCTGGCCTGCGGGCTTTGGTTTGCCCACACCTGGTGTAGCAGCAAAGCTGTTAATACAAGGCGAGATCTTCTTTGTTAAAACAGCAAATTTATGTGCTTTAGCTGAAGCATCTATCATAAACTTTAAGCAATCTGCAGCCATCCCTCCAGAGATTTTACAGGAAGTAAATCTGCCTTTGCTTACAGTGCACTTGAATGTCATTCTCGAATGAATTGAACCAATGCACATTTTTAGCAGTGGTTCAAGATGCTGATGGTGATACTGTAGTAGTATAGATATAATATTATTCTGTTCATCAGTGTTAGAAACTAAGCTATTAAAATAGTACTGTTAGATAGATAGCAGGGTTTTAAAACCATGAATTGCAGTATTTTAAAATATAAATACATGTAACAAACACAAGTAAGGTTTACTGACCTGCATTTGAGTATGTCATCTCTAGGAATTTTTTAGGTCCTCCCAGGTATTCTATGTTATGCTTCTGTGAGAAGTTACCATCTTGGAGGACCTAGCAAATTCCGAAAGAGAATATATCTCTAGGAATTTTCTAAGTCTTTCAGGATGACTCTATGATAACTTCTGACAAAGAGATATTGAATTAGTTTATTGTCTTTTAATAACAAGCACAAGAAAGGAATATAGAGAGACAAACATGCTTGTAGTAATCCTAGAGCTATATTCTCGTCATAAGTCTGTATCAAGTGGCAGCTTTTTGAATGAGTCAAAATCAAATGTTTCTGAGCAGATCAAAACCAAGACAAGGCTTTCATGGTTGGAATCAATGGGTTGTTGTAGGTCTTTTGGGCTGTATGGCCATGTTCTAGAACATGGTCATACAGCCCGAAAGACCTAAACAACCCAAAACCAAGACAGCTTCCATGTAGGTAAAGATTCTTCATGCAGATAACAACAAAACACGACAAGGTCTCCCTGGTTGTTCTACCTTGTTTCGCCTATATCTTCTTCAGGTATCCTGCCTTTCTTTACATTGCTATTACTTCAATATTGTATGGAGTAGAAAAACTTCCCAACCCGTTTCTGTTGGTAACATTAGCTCTGTTTTTGTGGTGTTCTAGTGCGAGCCGATGCCATCATACACTGATACCATTAAATTGTATCTATGATAACTTCTGAGAGAAGTTGTTCATTTCAGTAGGGTTTTCTATTATCCGCAGTTTCCTGTTTCCACAATAAGTTCATGAGTGCATTCCCCATGGAAAGTTTTGAATCTACGTATGTCACTGGACTCCTGCTCCCATTTGCCCCAGTCAGTGTAAATAGTGGCCAGAGATGATAGAAGTCATAACTCAACAGCAGCTGTGAGCTACAAATCCACATCGTGAATATTCATGCAAGTGAAGATCAGACCTGAATTCCAATCTGATGCTCAGATAAGATATAAAGCAGCTGTAAATTTTTAGTGTCATCAAGTTGTCTTCTTTCTTTAAAAAAGTGTTGTAACTGGAGAAAGAGGTTTTTACCCAACAGATGTCAAGATTTTTACAGCCATTGGCTACTACAGCATAAAATTTCCACAAAAGACTTCACTAGGCATCAATTGTAGCAGCTGCTATTGATATTCCTTTGACAGGTCTGAAGTAACCAAGGTTGCAGTCTTGAAAAAAACTCCCTTTAGAATAGGTCCCATCGAATTTATTGAGTTTGAGTAGATATGCATAGGCCCTCCAGCTCTCCCCATGCATTGAGAAGAGATTTTCTGCATTCCATCAGAGAGATTCTCTGGAAAATACAGAAAACAGAGAAACATTGTATGTGCATACATACAGTTTGCACATTAAATGACAACATATCGTTTCTACAAAATGCCTATTTTGGCCTTTATTAATAACCACATCTGTTTCTCTCTACACAGGAAGACAACCATAACTACTATATATCCCGAATTTATGGTCCTGGTGAGATGCGAGCCAAAGAACTCTGGGTTGAAATAGCAGAAGCCAATAGGAGCCAAGTGAAGGTCCATGGAATCCTGTCCAATACACACAGACAGGCCTCGGTGGGTGAGCCTACCTCTTTGTGCTGACTTGTCTCTTCAGTTTACCTGTCCTCCCAGATCCTTTGATCCTAGACCTATGAACTTTCCTGCCCTCTTGGATCCTCTGATGTTAGGAGTCTACCAATGCAATTCCAGACTTCCCTTTGAAGGTGATTATTTCCATACCTTCTCCAGGGTGGGCCACTTTAATGTTTTGGACTCCAGGTTTCACTGCTCCAACCAATGACCATGTTTAAAAGGCCTAAGTGTTGGCCAAAAACTCTAGAGAGCATCAGGTCAACTATTCTTGTCTTATCTTCTCCTCCTTGTATGCATATTAGGCCTGGTCAATTATAAGAAAATGGGCAGGAATGAGAAGGAAGTGGTGTCTACACACTGAAAAATCTGTTCTCCGCTAAGGAAGGTTATATATTTGCATATCTATCACTGCATATAATATATAGTCTTAAAGGCTAACAGAGAGCTTGCTTATTATTCCTTACTTAATATCCTGAGATTCCGATACTTAAGAGTGCTTAAGTGAAGTGTTGATGTAATTCTGTTTGTTTAGACTTTATTGTGATCCACAGGTTGGTGGCAAATAGATAGTGATAAGAGGGACCTTCAAATAAATATATATTGCTGAAATGAGGCAAAGAACACAAAATTCCCCTGTCAAAAGAGGCAGAGAAACACCTGTTTCAGTGGTACGCACTCATAAGAGATGTCCCACTGAAACAATCTTGCCCAAAGACTCCTCAAAGCCTGAAGGTAATATTATGAGTAATCATCCCATGTCAATATGTTTTACACAGAAATGATTATTTTGCTGAAGGGACACTATCAGGGATAGTCTCCTGATCAAGAAAATATATTATATGGGAAGGACAGTGTTAAGCTTGGGTGGGATGCAATGACGGTCAAATGTACTGTGATAGCCTTACTCTGTTTACTGAGTGAGCTCTGCTCCAAAATCTCATGCAAGCAAGGTTGAATGGTTGTGCAGGAAATGGAAGCTCAGCAGGTTTGCTTAAATTTCATCATCTGTTGAACTTTCCCTCATCCACATACTCTATATTGTAATGTACATGGAATAAGTAACTAACTAGTAACCAACCAAACATTGGCTTATCCAATATTGAGTGAGGACTCTAAATAGCAATCAAAAAGAAAGAATCTGAGTTTTTCATAGACCAAAAGCTTTGGAATATGCCACTTGTGCCCAGGAGAGTTCTGTCTACATCAGTGGTTCTCAACGTATGGGTCCCCATGTGTCTTGGCCAGTTTACCAGCTATTAGATTTTCTGGGAGTTGAATGCCAAAGCATCTGGGGATCCACACCACTGGTCTACATTGAGGGGGGAAACTGAGAGACAGTCATTTACTCGGTCATCACAACATCTGCTAATTTTAACTGCTGGGTCAATATAAGAGAGAACAGCTATTGAGTTGCTAACTACCCATTTATGGGTGTTATTTTCCACTCCCTGGAGGTGTAGCCAACAAATCAATACCCAAACAACTTCTTAACTGCTGGGAAAGCATAAAGCAGCTATTGTATGTGCCAGCTACTGTTCTCTGTGTGTCGTCTGGCACCTAGCTCCAACACGTTAGTCACAGATGTTCCTAGATGCATATAACCCCAGAGGCAAAGAAAACAAAACAAAAAATGCTGTAAGATTAACACCTGCTTCTTTTAATAGCAGCAATATTAACGTTACATACATGTTGTGCTCTAGCCTATTAGGTCCACAGTCACCATGTTGTTGTTCAGTGCCAGCAACATTTGTAGTACTTCTTTCCTCTGTTAAAATTAAGTGGGATATATAATATATTTTAGTACTTATTGATTTAATCCTTCAAGTTCAACACATGCACATGTACAAAAAAGGATGAGAAAACACTACATAATAAAAAAAAATACTGACCAATTGGTCTTCTCAATATACATCAAAGGGAATTTAATCAGTCAACATTTATGTAAATTCCATTGATTTAATGGGTTGATTCTAGTCAGAGGTAAAATTTAAACTTAAGCCACTGTGATTAAAGGAGAATCCAAATTCTGTATAGATTGCGCATCTGTTTTCCAGAATCTAAAATACTCTAGAGTCTAACATTGTCCCCATCGGTTGCTGAGACAGTAAGAAGAAGAAGGTTATTTTTCTACCCTGCCTCCATCTCCCCGAAGGGACTCGGGGCAGCTTACTTGGGGTCCAAGCCCAGGCAGAATACAATTAAAATAAAGCAATAACAATTAAAACAGCATAAAACAACATAACAAAATAGCTAGCAACAACAATAACAGCAAACTAATTTTGGAGTAGGGAGGAAAACCACTACCTGAACTAGTAAGACCTTTGCTTTTTGGTCATTCCATGTTACAAACTTTGATTCATGCACAAAATTATTTCAAATATTGTACATAAAAATATGTGTAATAACAATAATAATAACTTTATTCTTATATCCTGCCACCATCTCCCCGAAGGGACTCAGGACGGCTTACAGACGGCACAAAGTGCCTAGAAACAAACATAAATATGAACATAATATAAAATACAATAAAACACATGCACATGCACATATAAAAACATCAATGTTGACTCAATCAAGCTGCAATCCTCAAACTGTGACGGTAAATTACTGGCGCCAATGCCAGGCTGGAAACATTGGAATAAAATAAGTGCCACCTGCAGTAATGGAGAGAGGGCATAGGATAAAGTGCAGGATGAGCAACTACTACGTAGTTGCACATCCTGCACATGTGTGCTATGTGTACAAGGTGTATATGAAGCACAAATAAAATTTGTGTTTTCACTTGGCTCTGAGATACCTTATCATGTTCATATATACAAGAAGAGGTATTCCAAAATCTGGGAAGAAAGACCTGAAATCCCAAAACACTACTGGTCCTAAGGCTTTCGAATAAGGGATATTCAGCCCAGGCCCTGGAATTTCCAGGCCAAAACCTGAAACCTAAGGATGGCCCCTGATGATGTCATTAAATATTATGCATTAAGTACTAAACATAGTTGGCCATTGCTTGTCACTTACTCACCCAAACACTTATCCAGCTGCACACACCCATTTTTCTGGAGTGTTGTATCATTTCTGGGCTATATGACTGTGTTCTAGTAGGATTTTCTCCTGATGTTTTGCCCGCATCTGTGGCTGGCATCTTCAAAGGAAATGGACATAATATGAGGTGAGATCTGACCAAAGGTCTGATCAAAGCAGAATAAAGAGGCACCATGACTTATCATAGAATCATAGAGTTGGAAGGGACCTCATCAGCTATACAGACCAACTCTCTGCCAGGAAGCAGGAAAATTGCATTCAAAGCACCCCCAACAGATGACCATCCAGCCTCTGCTTAAAAGCCTCCAAAGAAGGAGCCCCCACCACACTCTGGGGCAGAGAGTTCCACTGCTGAAAAGGTCTCACAGTTAGGAAGTTCTTCCCAATGTTCAGGTGGAATCTCCTTTCCTGTAGCTTGAAGCCATTCCTCCGTGTCCTAGTCTCCAGGACAACAGAAAAGAAGCCTGTTCCCTGCTCCCTATGACTTCCCCTCACATATTTATACATGGCCATCATATCTTCTCTCAGCCTCCTCTTCTGCAGGCTAAACAAGCCCAGCTCTTTAAGCCGCTCATCAGAGGGCTTGTTCTCCATACACTTGATAATTTTATTCACCCTTCTCTGAATACATTCCAGCTTGTCAAGATCTTCCTCGATCTAGACACTATACTCATTTTGATGCAGCCCAAAATCCCATTGACTTTTTAACCTGCTGCATCACACTGTTGGCTCATCTTCAACATGTTGTCCATGAAGACTCCAAGATCTTTTTCACATGGACTGTTGTTGAGCCAGGCATCACTCATCCTGTATCCGTGCTTTTCATTTTTTTTTCTACCTAAGTGTAGTATCTTACATTTCTCCTAGTTGGAATTTGTTTGGTTAGTTTTGGCCCATCTCTGTAATGTGTCAAGGTTGTTTTGAATTCTGATCATGTCCTCTGGAGTATTAACTATCCCTCCTAATTTGGTGTCATCTGCAAACTTGGTAAGCATGCCCTCTAAATCTTCATGTAAGTCATTAATAAAGATGATGCCCTGTGCACTGTACCCAAGACCAAACCCTGCAGCACTCCACTAGTCACTTCTTTCCAGGATGAAGAGGAACCATTGGTGAGCACCCTTTGGATTTAGTCACTTAACCAATTACAAATCCATCTAACAGTTGTATTATCCACCCACATTTTACTTGTTTGTTTGAAAGCAGAGTATAGGAAGAGCCCCAGAACCCCAACAACCAAAAGGGAAGCTAGCTACATACATAGACTCTCTGAAAGAGTCTTTCCAATACATCTAAGTCTTGGAAATTGCAGTGAACTATGTTGGAGATCTGCACATAGCCATTTCCTGAGCCCACCAAAACCAGAGATTTTGCCTCCCACCTAGACATGAATCATAAAAAGAGGCCCTTCTAACTATGTAGTACTAATGAAAATCTATATCCATGAATGGATTGGCATTTCAATAAAAGCACCAAGTGTAAACCTGTCAAAAATGATCATTAGATTTATTTTAAAAGGATATTTCCAGCCCTTGTTACAATGAGGGTGAGCTTGAAAATAATGGAAAATCTTCAAGTGAGTGAAGGACTGAGACAAAACCACGCATCATTCCATGCCCCTCTTTGCAATAAGTGAAAATAGAATAAACTATGCCACTAAGGGAAAAAAGCACAGCTGCTTATAATTAAATTACTGGCTTTCCTTAGTTTTTGATTTAGATTTCTGCAGCCCATAGGGCACTGACCTATGTGTGTAACCCTAAGCAACATTGCTGCTTATCTTCCAATTATACAGAAGCCTGGGAACACAAGCATGATAGATGTAGCTCTTGTGTTTAATGCTGTTATTTCTATCTGTCCTCCTACAGAGAGTGATCCTCTCTTTTGACTTCCCCTTCTATGGGCATCACTTGCGACAGGTCACCATAGCAACAGGAGGTGAGCTTCATTGGGTACCACTTCGGGCATAAGAGATGCCGTCTTGCAAAGGTTCACTGAATCGAAATGGAGAGCTGTCCAAAAGGTTTCAAAAGTCAAGGTGCATTAAACGTTTAGATTAGGGATGGGAATCATGGTTTTTCTAGGTGTGTTGATTGCAGCTCCCAGCATTCCTTGCCATTTGCTATGTTAGTTAGAGCTGATAAGAAGACAGCTTATTCATTTACAAAGCTTTGAAGTGAGTGAGCTGAGAGATATACTAGCGACTGAGTGTATGTGTGTGAGGGAGTGTGTGAGAGAGACATAGGCTGCATCTACACCATAGAATTAACACAGTTTGACATTGAGCATGGCAGCTAAATTGGCATTATAGCATCAGTGCAAATACGCTTTAAGAGACTGAAAATACTTCTTGAGGAAAATTCAGGTGAGCTTGTGGATTATTCAAATTGCATTATATGGCTCCCAGCATCTTCTATCTAGGCATCTGCCTAGCAGGTCCTGCGAACAAGAGGGTTAGAAAGCAATGGGTGGGCCTAAAAGATCTATTTTACAATTGTGATACAATGGGATTAAAACTTGGTTTCCTTTCTCCTTGTTCGTTTCTTGTCAGGTTTCATCTTCATGGGGGAGATCATCCATCGGATGCTGACAGCCACGGAATATGTTGCCCCTCTTATGGCTAACTTCAATCCCAGCTACTCCCGCAATTCCACTATCAAATATTTTGACAACGGTGAGGTTCTTCATAAAGGATCTCATAACTAGTGAGAAGGATTACACTAGCCAACACAGGTTTTGTTGCTTCAAATATTAGACCTGTTTCTAGGTATATTCGACCTGCTGATCCACACAATTGTACCAGTTTCCCTCATCAGCTCTAGTCTTAGAGATACAGAACATATGCCACATACTCGTCATCATGTGCTTGCCCATAGAAAATCATGATAACCATATTTAAGAAACTAGAACTGGTGCAGCTTGTCCAATGCAATATTCTGAATCAGTGGCCCAAATAACCCCGGGAACAGGTGTAAAAAATGCTTCAAACCCAAGCCACCAAGAAAAATAATTTTTCGTTGAGCTGTGTTATTAATAACACATATCTGTGATGTGGAAGGCTATAAAAATATTAGCCCACTAGTCCAGAAGTGAGAGCCAGCATGGTGTAGTGGCTTGAGTGATAAACTGGGACTTCTAACATCATCAACAACAACAACAACATTTATATCCCACCGCTCTCTCCAAAAGGACTCGAGGTGGCTTACAACAGAAAAAACACAACATAGATAATGATAAACACTTGCTTTTCCCCACAGGAAAAGTCTTTGTGGTTCAATGGGACCAAGTGTACTTGGAAGGAAAAGAAGACAAAGGCTGTTTCATCTTCCAGGCAGCTTTGCACAATGATGGCAGAATTGTCTTTGGCTACAAGGAGGTGAGATGACCAAATATTTCTGAATTCTTTGTTACTCTGGCATCCATGTGTCGGTTGTAGTGTGGAGGTGCATCACACAAATGTAACAGGAAAGCTCTGGGTCTATGTGAAATAAACAATAAATCATATATTTAAAAATATATAAATGAAAGGTTTTCATTAGATATGTTATGTTCCCACACATTTCGTTTTTACAGTTTATGTATATATTTCTATTTCTTAAAAGGGGCCTGTTTAATAAAACTCTAGTTTGCTAATAAAACTGAATTACTGTGTTGCAAAATGTTCCATGTCTAAAAAGTGTGTCAACACCATGAAATGTTTGGAAAGCTCTGCTTTAGCAGAAAAAAAATAAGTTAGAAGGGTATTTGAAGTTGCTTAAGCATTTATTTCCTACAAAGCAGCGGTTCCCGACCTTTTTTTGACTAGGGACCACTTGATCAGAGACCATTTTGACCAGGGACCACTTTCCAACATTTCCAAAAGGGTACTAAGTTTTTGGTCAACTTTAGATTCGGTTTCGTTATTTGGGGTGCTGATTCAGAAACTTGCATTAGGTAGACCATATTAGCTCTAGTTTCTGACACAGAACATATGCCATCCAGTAGTAGCCATCTGCTCGCCCACAGAAAACCATATTTAATAAACTAGAGCTGATGTGGTCTATCCAATGCAATTTTCTGAATCATCATCCCAAATAACCACAGGAACAGACCTAAAAACAAAGACACCAAGGCGTCCCCGCTTCCAGGGAATGCCTTTGCTCAGGGGGAGGAAGGAGGAGGAGGCTTGTCATGCCTTTCGTGGGTGGTCAGCCTCTCCTTTCCAGACATCCCCATTGCCTCGGTACTATAAGAGGGTTTTGCGAGCCCGGTTGCTCTTGTTGCAACGGTGTAGTAACAGATCACAGATTGGGAACCACTGCTCCAAAGGTTCTTGAAAATCCTAGCTAATTAGGCTGTCATTCATTTTCCGGTCCCAATTCAAGGTGCAGGTTCTTACCTACAAAGCCCTGAACGGTTTGGGACCCTCCTACCTGCGTGACCGCATCTCTGTGTATGAACCCACACAATCCCTTCGATCATCTGGAGAGGCCCTGCTTGCGCTCCCATCGCAGGCGCGATTGATGGGGACAAAGGAGAGGGCTTTCTTGGTGGTGGCCCCTCGACTCTGGAACTCACTCCCCAAGGACATCAGGCATGCCCCAACCCTGGCAGTCTTTAGGAGGAGCCTGAAAACGTGGTTGTTCCAGTGTGCCTTCCCAGAATAAGGAAACTTCCAGCAATATGTCCTCGAAATGCACTTTACTATTGATCTAGGAATGTCTGCACGCCCCATCCCTCTCTGAAAACTCTATCCTAGTTCAATTTCATCTGTTCATGCTCAGCATTATTCTTAAATTTCAATTATTACATTTGGCCCAGCCATAGGTTTTTAAACGTCGTTGTGTTACTGTTAATGTTTATTCTTTATTTTTGTTATGAGTTTTATTTTATTGTTTGTATTAATTGTTGTTATTGCTTTTATCATTGAATTATTGTGGGCTCGGCCTCATGTAAGCCGTACCGAGTCCCTCGGGAGATGGTAGCGGGGTATAAATGATGATGATGATGATTATTATACTATTATTATTATTATTATTATTATTATTATTATTAGGAAATATGGCTGGAGGGGATGGGGAGTGGGGAAATCTCCAGATAGATAATTTTCAATAATGGGATTTTCTTTTCTGGCTTCAGATCCCCATACCAGTCTTGGAGATTAGTTCTACACAACACCCTGTGAAAGCAGGCCTCTCCGATGCTTTCATGATGCTTAACTCTGCTCCTGGTGTTCCTGGTGAGTCTGGGCTGGGTAGAAGCAAAATGGTTTGGGTGTGTGCTTCTGGAGTGATAATAAGTAATAGAATATAGTAATATATTGGTCCAGGATGGATAGACCTGGGAGCATGTACACTGTAGAATGAATGCAGATTAACACTGCTTGAACTGCGACAGCTTAATGCTAAGAGTGGCTTCATTAAACTATAACTCCCAAGATGCCATAGTATTAAGCTACGACAGCTCAGGGGTGTCAAACTGCATTCGTTCTAGAGTAGGTATGGACAAACTTCATCCCTCCAGGTGTTTTTGACTTCAACCTATCGGCTGTTAGAAATTGTGGGAATTGAAGTCCAAAACCACTTGGAGGGTCTAAGTTTGCCCATGCCCGTTCTAAAGTGTAGCTGCACCCATAGATTCAAAACCTCATACACCCATGGTGACCGTCACTCATCATTCAGCCTCCCATTGGCAAATGCTTGGAAATGTTCATTAAAAAGGAAAACATTAACACTACTGCCAGTTCAGTGGAAAAATATATTAATAATACAGGCCGAGTACCCCTTCTCTGAAATACATAGGGCTAGAAGGGTTTTGGATTGTTTTGGATTTTGAAATATTTACATATACATAATGAGATATCTTAAATATGAGCCTAAGTCTAAGCTCAACATTCATTCTGTTTCATATAAACATAGCCTGAAGATAATTGTATACAATACTTTTTTATAATTTTGTACATGAAAGAAAGTTTGTATACACTGAACCATCAAAAAACAAATTTTCAGCTATTTCAGCTATCTATGTAAACAAGCAACATTACTGATTTTGGAATTCTGCATAAGGATACTTAATCTGCATTCTACAAGCTACTTGTTTTTATTTACCTTTTAAACATAATTGTTGAAAAGTAACAATGGCCAGCTACCACCAAATGTTGTCTTCCTATATATATATATATATATATATATATATATATATATATATAGTATGTATATGTGGTGCCCCCTGGTGGCACAGTGGGCTAAACCGCTGAGCTGCTGAACTTGCTGACCAGAAGGTTGGCGGTTCAAATCCGGGGAGCAGGTTGAGCTCCCACTGTTAGGCCCAGCTTCTGCCAAGCTAGCAGTTCAAAAACATGCAAATGTGAGTAGATCAGTAGGTACCGCCTTGGCGGAAAGGTAACGGTGCTCCATGCAGTAATGCCGGCCACGTGATCTTGTAGGTGTCTATGGACAATGCCAGCTCTGCAGCTTAGAAATGGAGAAGAGCGCCACCACGACCCCTGAGTCAGACTCGACTGGGCTTAATGTCCAGGGCTTTACCTTTTTATATGTATCTGTATATATGACACAACATATTTGGGAAATAATATTACATGCCCACTCCCCACAATACAATCCTGTGGTCTTAGTGTTAAATTGTTGGAAAGGAACATGGTCACCATCTCTCCCCATTATCCCCCAAAACAACATTTTACAAGTTAGAAATGCTGTTATTACTCCCAATTTCAGTTGTTGTGAAGACAAAAATGAGATGTCAAACCTGCCTTGAACTCCTTGGAGGAAAGGGAGGGGGCTGAATGTAAGAAAGTAATTAATTAATTAATTAGCATAGGTAAAAATGCTGATTTGATGTAGACGGCTTGATTGAGATAATGGAAGGAGCCTCTTTTTTTAGCTGCCAAGATGTAAGCCTATGCAAGTTAAGTATATAAATGTACTCCTGCTGTCTCTTTTGGCATGCTGCAGAATAAAGCTGAACACATACCCAGCTCCTCTAATATCTGTATTTACTCAAGTCTAATGTGCCATCGAATCTAATGCGCACCTCAGTTTTCAAAGCCCTAAAACTAAAGAACCAAAAGTATTACCTGGCGAATGTAATGTATAGCGGCAAAAAGTGCACTCTCTGTTATTTGGCCAAAAAAGGTGCCCATTGCAGTGGGCGTGTGTGTAATTCCTTCTTTAAAAACTAAAGTGTTAGAGCACCAAAGCTTCCAGAAACAGAAATGAAAACCTTGGGGTGTATCTATGCTGCAGAATTAATGCACTTGGTTCAATGCTATGGAGTCATGGTGGCTGTAATTTTACAAGGCCTTGAGCCTTCTCTGCTAAAAAATGCTGATGCCTCACCAAACTACAAATCCCAGAATTACACAGCATCGAACCATGCCAATTAAATGAGAAGTGAGGTCCCTCAAATAGGAGTTCCAGGTGCAGCTCCTAAAGCAGCTCCTCTTTGGCTTGGACTCAGACCTAAGATTACTGTATGACACAAATCTAATGCGCACCCTAAGTGTGGAGAAGTCATTTAGTCAAAAAAAAAGTGAGCATTAGATTCGAGTAAATATGGTACTTTGTTCTCCATACCTTTATTATCCTTGTTGCCTTTTTTTAAATCTGCTTCTCCGCGTCTTTCTTAAAATGAGATGATCAGAACGGAACACAAAATATTCCAGAAGAAGCAAAATAGAGTGGAGTGATTACTTCCCTCAGTTGTGAAACTATGCTTTTTATAATAGAGACAAAAATAGCATTTGCCTTCTTTCCTGCAGCATCACACAACTGGATCATCCCTCCCAGTTTTGTGTCATCTGCAAACCGGATAAGCCCCCACTCCATCCCATCATCCTTGATCCTTCAGAGGTCAAAAGTACCATGAAATGTGTGGTGTAATGTAAAATCAACCACATATAGTTCATGCTTGGTCAGCCCACGCACTGCCTAGCCAGAGGAAAAGAAACTATGCCACACAGATGAACAGTGAAGAACAAGTAGTTTACTCTTCATAGTTCAGGACAACATATGTAGAATGTGATCAGTTGCATCGACTCACATAATGTCCTTTTATGAGAGATTTAAAATTGTCTTTCTTTGCCCATGTGGATAAACTCCTTCAGCAGCTCATGAAGCGAGAGCACACTCCAAACTCAGTCTCTCTCTGCTTCTCTCTCTGCTTCTCAGCTCTCCAAGCACCTGTACAGCTCAAACCTGAACAAAAATGTAACAGTATCCAAAAGTCTCAGGCTTAGCCTGCTTCCCAGGCATTGCCCGACCAATCAGCTTCATGAATCTTATTTTTCTGTTTATTTATTTATTTAAAATATTTCTATCCTGCCTTTCTTGAGGCGACTCAAGATGGATTACAAATTGGCAGCAAAGTAATGCCCTAACAATCCACAATATACAATTATAAAAGCATTATAAAATCAATATAAAATCAAAACTATACAAAAACCATCAAAAACATATAATAACCAATGTCGTCCTGTTAAGCTCACTTTCCAATAGCATCATCTAAGTCGTTCCATGTTTCAAACTTACATAATTCTGTATTTGTCTATTGCACTGCATTTCCAAAAGCTTGTTCAAAGAGCCAGGTTTTTACTTTTTCTTGGAAGGTCAGGAGGGAGGGGGTCGATCTAATATCCCTAGAGAGGGAGTTCTACAGCTGAGGGGCTACCACTGAGAAGGCCTTGTCCCATGTCCCCGTCAAACGTGACTGTGAAGAAGGCAGGATCCAGAGCAGGGTCTCCCAAGACAATCTTAAATTCCTAAATGGTTCAGTTAACACACACACTGATTCCTTACATGCTTCAACAAAATGGACTGTACCATTTTTTTTTTCATCTCAGGAGCGACCTGAGAAACTGCAAGTCGCTTCTGGTGTGAGAGAATTGACCGTCTGCACGGACGTTGCCCAGGCAACGCCCGGATGATTTGATGTTTTATCATCCTTGTGAGAGGCTTCTCTCATGTCCCTGCATGAGGAGCTGGAGCTGATAGAAGGAGCTCATCCGCCTCTCCCCGGATTCGAACCTGCAACCTGTCGGTCTTCAGTCCTGCCGGCACAGGGGTTTAACCCACTGTGCCACCGGGGGCTCCGACTGTACCATTAAAAACAGAGGATAGAACCCTTCACTCATGTAATTTTGATTCTATTTTATTATAGAATCCCACCGTCGGACCATCTATGAATACCACCGAGTAGAACTGGATACCAGCAAGATCACAAGCGCAACAGCCGTGGAGTTTGTGCCCTTGCCCAGTGAGTAGAAGTGCATAGACACATTAACATGCATCCTTCTTCCAGAGATATTTAGGCTTTCCACAACAAACCTGCCTTCGATTGATGGAGGGATTGTTGGGTTTGTTTGATTCATCAGACCACAAGGCACCTTGGATGAAAACTGCTAGTGATTAGAATAAAAACAAAACAATTTGTATTCACACAGCACAGGGTTATAAAAGCAGGTATTTCTAACATCTTGCTACATTTTCATGGAATTGGTTTATGTGCAGGATGTTTTAAATCCAAAGTCCCCAGTGATTAAAAGTGTATGTTTTGTACTTTCTGTACTTTGAGATGCCCCACAGAGTGATGCTGCATTGTCACTAAAATAAATACCTTTTAGTTCACGCGGACATTGCCAATGAAAACAAGGAGTTCTGCTTCAACCCATAAATACCCAGATAGGAAGGATAAACCTCTCCAGAAGATGCTAAGTTTATATGTTCAAGCCAATTCTCTTGGGTGTTTTATGGCTGCCCAGACAGCAGGCTTGGCATGCTGTAATACAAGGCATAAATAAGTGTTCTGAAAAGTTTTTTTAAGGAGAAGAAAATAATATGATACTGTTTAATTAATAAGTTTTCTATGAAAGTGATAGTTGAGAATGATTAAAAATTATCTCTGGATACGCACTTGATCTCCCAATTTGGTTAACAGAATCATATAAACATATGTGTCTCTTGGTTAGCTTCTGTTGTTTGGTCACTTAATCCAGGTCACAATAATACCAGCAACAAAAATAGTGAAGGGTTAGAGCAGTGGTTTTCAACCTGTGGGTCCCCAGGTGTTTTGGCCTACAACTCCCAGAAATCCCAGCCAGTTTACCAGTTGTGAGGATTTCTGGGAGTTGAAGGCCAAAACATCTGGGGACTTACAGGCTGAGAACCACTGGAGGCACAAGTATCTCAAGCATTTTTTCCCAATATTTATTTATTTATTTACAACATTTATATGCCGCCCTTCTCACCCTGAAGGGGACTCAGAGCGGCTTACAAGGTATATATACATACAATATATTATATTATTAGCATAGTACAAGTCGCTTCTGGTATGAGAGAATTGGCCATCTGCAAGGACGTTGCCCAGGGGACGCCCAGATGAATTGATGTTTTTATCATCCTTGTGGGAGGCTTCTCTCATGTCCCCACATGAGGAGCTGGAGCTGATAGAGGGAGCTCATCCGCCTCTCCCCGGATTCAAACCTGCGACCTGTCGGTCTTCAGTCCTGCCGGCACAGGGATTTAACCCACTGCGCCACCGGGAGCTCCTGTTTCTCCTGTTTGCAGTTTCTCAAGTTGCTCCTGACACGACAAAAAAAAAAAGCATAGTACAATATCAGTATTAAATATTTCTATATCGTACTATACCTTTATATTGTAATATCATTAGTAAGTGGGTCTGGCCCATGGGTCTTAATTCACTTTGCAGTAAATACAGATTCATTCACTGCCATCTCAGTCCTGTCTTTGAAGCACATCAATTTGTAAATTCAGGCTGGGTTTATTAGAATGTCCTGGACTAAGTGTATATAGCTTGCTCCAGGACTTCTATAGGGTGTCTGGAAGGCTAGAGCAATTGCTTTGCGGCCTTGGCCAGGAATTTATTTATTTATTTATTTAAAGTATTTATATTCCGCCCTTCTCACCCCGCAGGGGACTTAGGACATATACATGGCAAACATTCATAATGTACATATACATGGCAAACATTCAATGCCATAGACATACAACATATATAGACAGACACAAAGGCAATTTAACATTTCAGCTTTCCGGCACGGTATGCTCAGTTCCGGCCACAGGGGGAGCTGCTGCTTCACCGTCCACTTGTGACATCAAGTCCTTGATGGAGTATTTCCTCATTCTTACACACGCTGCTGGAAGGTTTTATGGTGTTGTAAATTAGCTAAATTAGCCTCCCCACATAAAGCAGTAAGTGCATTTCCTACTTGACAGATGCAACTGTCATTTGGGCTGAATGGGTCAACAGCAAGCTAGACTATTAATGGTCGGGAGCTCACTCTGACCCGGGCTGGCTTCGAGCTCATTACCTCTTGGTCAGTTGTGATTTAATGCAGCTGGCTACTAACTAGCTGTGCCACAGCCCAGTCTCTGATGTTGCAGGGTAAGAAGGAATTTAAATTCTTACCTCTAAGAGAGGATGGACAACTTCAAGAGAGTCAGGAGCTAATTCCTCTTTCAAACATTCCCACAAATTGCACTTTTCCACAGCAAGTGACCCATGTCACCAATCTGAAAGGGATTGTAGAGGAAAATGGAATTATTTGGGGATTGTAGACAATTTTGGAATATTTGTAGTGTTTGATTATTTATTTTCCCTCACTGACTCTTCAAGTGTGGGAATCTTTGGGGGTCTGTTGCATATCTGGAGACCCTTCTTTGGTCCCTGCTGCTAGAATAGTTGACTGACATTTTAATAGACTGGAACAGAAATCCAGGATCCAGGGACAAGTCAAGATGATTGACAAATAGTATGAAATTAACTTGAAAGTATTTTTTCCCTGCAGCAATAGGCAAACCACTTCTCCCAGAAGGAAAAGTTCTGCTATGTGGCTGCCAAACACAATGGAAGGAGTTGGATGTATTTTCTCTTTCTTCTTGTGTGATTCTTCCTTTGAATTCAATACAATTATTTCTGGCATTGTGCAGCTGTAATATTGCACATAAACAAGGAGGAGCATTAATTGCAAGACAAGGAACTCTGCAATCTCTCTTCCCACAACCCCCATTTCTCTTTAAAATTCCAGTTTATTCCAGGACAGGTCTCAAAAATGTATGGATATATACATATGCAATATTTGGAGGGAGTGTTTCAAAATACTTCTTCCATTTCCAGACATTTACATGAGTGAAGGTTCAGAGAGCACTGTGAGTCTGTATGATCATAAAACAGTGGACATGATCTCATCTTGGAAAGAAATGTTGTGACAATGGAAGCACACCTGGCTTTCATTTGAATCATTGTTATCCAGTCTAATTGACCAAATCATATTTACCAAAACTAGTTTTCAGTGCCAGGGGCTACCATGGAGAATGTTTGAAAAGGAGAGATTTGCAGCCTCAGCTTGCTCCTCTCGGAGATGTGGAAATACCTTGTAAATAATATGATTGGTAACTGCCGCAGCTACAAGATGGGTTTGGGACAAAGGGATTGAGCAGTGCAGAGTTAGTAGAGGATTCTGACCTCCACAACAACCCCCCAAAGAAATAATATATAATGTAGGATGCGGAACAATGGCTTCAAACTACAAGAAAGGAGATTCTGAACATTAGGAAGAACTTCCTGACTGTGAGAGCCGTTCAGCAGTGGAACTCTCTGCCCGGAGTGTGGTGTAGGCTCCTTCTTTGGAAGCTTTTAAACAGAGGCTAGATGGCCATCTTTCAGGGGTGCTTTGAGTGCAATTTTCCTGCTTCTTGGCAGGTGGTTGGACTGGATGGGCCATGAGGTCTCTTCCAACTCTATGATTCTAAATATGTATTCCAGAGCACAACATACATATGGCCTGTGGACAGACACTGGTTCAGGGGTTCTCAACCTGTGGGTCCCCAGATGTTTTGGCCTTCAATTCCCAGAATCCTAATGTTTGTATATATATCTTTTAAAGCAAACAAAATGACTATTTCCTTGGCTTTAAATGTAACACGTCCCATTGTAGAGTGCTCTTACAGTTGTTCTTTCCCTTGCAGCTTGTCTCCAGCATCAGAGTTGTGAAGTCTGCACAACGTCACATTTAACCTTCAACTGCAGTTGGTGTCATGTCCTGCAGAGGTAATGCACAAACATGAAGGGGAAATGGGTTGTTGTAGGTTTTTTAGGCTATATGGACATAATCTAGAATAGGGGTCCTCAAACTAAGGCCCGAGGGCCGGATGCGGCCCTCCAAGGTCATTTAACCGGCCCTCGCTCAGGATCAACCTAAGTCTGAAACAACTTGAAAGCACACAACAACAACAATCCTATCTCCTCAGCCAAAAGCAGGCCCACACTTCCCATTGAAATACTAATAAGTTTATATTTGTTAAAACTGTTCTTCATTTTAATTATTGTATTGTTTTTAATTGTTTCTGCACTACAAATAAGATATGCGCAGTGTGCATAGGAATTCATTCTTTTTTTTTCCAAATTATAATCCAGCCCTCCAACAGTTTGAGGGATTGTGACCTGGCCCTCTGTTTAAAAAGTTTGAGGACTCCTGCTCTAGAAGCATTCTCTCCAGACATTTCACCTGCATCTGTGGCAAGCATCCTCAGAGGTTGTGAGGTCTCAAACCTCTGAGGATGCCTGCCATAGATGCAGGCAAAACATCAGGAGAGAATGCTTCTAGAACATGGCCATATAGCCCAAAAAACCTACAACAATCTAGTGCTTCTGGCCATGAAAGCCTTCGACAATACAATGAAGGGAAATGCCCATTCCAGTCTCAGATGAGTCAAGTTAGCTTGCTTTGGTGTTGTCCTCTTTCTACAATTGTTCACCTGATCAACCTGTTGCTATTCTACAGTGTAAAGTTAGGCACCAGACCCCATCAGATCATGGAAGCAGAGCATGATCAAGCCTGTACTCGAGTGAGGGACTACCAAGGTTCTGTAGGCTATATTTCATAGGAGCTTTGAGAGCATTTGTTGCCTTTAAAAAACCCATGAAATGCATTGGGGTAACCCTAAGTCCACAGGCAACCCGAAGATACACAGTTAACTTCCTATATTCATGTTCTACCTGACAGTGGTTCTCAACCTGGGGTCCTCAGATGTTTTTGGCCTTAAACTCCCAGAAATCCTAACAGCTGGTAAACTGGCTAGGATTCCTGGGAGTTGTAGGCCAAAAACATCTGGGGACCCCAGGTTGAGAATCACTACTCCTGATATTGCAATATATGCTGTGTAATAGTTGTGCGAGTGAAGATTATTTTGCTCATGTGCCTTGTTTCCATTAAGATATTCATCCATCCCTGTTGCATTTAGGAAATAGATGGTCAGTGTAAGTGGGTCTGGCTGGTGACCAGTTTCTGACCCTGGGACTTTCCAGGGCTTGGTTATTATATGTTTTAATAGTTTTGGTATGGATTTTATAATGTTGATTTAAATGTTTTAATTGTATATTGTGGATTGCTATTGCATCGAATTGCTGCCAACTTGTAAGGTGCCTTGAGTTGCCTTCAGGCTGAGAAAGGTGGGATAGACATATTGTAAATAAATAAATAAATAAATAAATAAATAAATAAATTGCTCAGGCTGCCAAACATACCAAAAAGGGGGGGGGGGGCAAGGACGTATGCAGCCTTAAGGCCACTCTTTGCTTATCTTAGGTTTGAATGTTCAAAAGAGGAAATACGGTATATTAAAGTGTCATTGTGGTTGTGGTGGTTTGGACTATGACTCTGGAGATTAGGGTTTGATGGGCCAGAACTAACAGAATGAAGCTCAACAGAGACAAATGCAAGATACTCCACTTAGGCAGAAAAAAATTAAATCCAAAAATACAGAATGGGGTGTGCCTCGTGGACAACAAGTTAAACATGAGTCAACAATGTGATGTGGCGGCTAAAAAAGCCAATGGGATTTTGGCCTGCATACACAGGAGTCTAGTGTCTAGATCCAGGGAAGTCATTCTACCCCTCTATTCTGCCTTGGTCAGACCACACCTGGAATCACACTGTGTCCAATTCTGGGCATCACAATTGAAAGGAGCTATTGACAAGCTGGAATGTGTCCAGAGGAGGGCGACTAAAAGGGTCTGGAGAACAAGCCCCGTGAGGAGCGGCTTAAAGAGCTTGGAATGTTTAACCTGCAGCAGAAAAGGCTGAGAGGAGATATGATGGCAATGTATAAATATGTGAGGGGAAGTCTTAGAGAGGCAGGAGCAGGCTTTATTTCTGCTGGTCTGGAGACTAGGACGTAGAACAATGGCTTCAAAGTACAAGAAAGGAGATTCCATCTGAACATGAGGAAGAACTTCATGACTGTGAGAACTGTCAAGAGTGGAACTCTCTGTTCTGGAGTGTGGTGGAGGCTCTTTCCTTGGAAGCTTTTAAACAGAGGCTGGATGGCCATCTGTCGGGAGTGCTTTGAATGCAATTTTCCTGCTTTTTGGCAGGAGGTTGGACTGGATGGCCCATGAGGTCTCTTCCAACTCTATGAGTGTATGAATCCCTGCTTGGTTATGGAAACTCATTGTCATACTCTCTCAGGAATGGGAAAATGCTGAACAAATGCCAAGGAAACACTATCACACACAGCATCTTTGTAAGTAAAAGTCAAACTGAAGGCACCTAACAACAACAAATTCATGGGCATGGGTGCCAGTTTAGAAATAATGGCTTATAAGATCACCTGCTAAGTTTTATTTTTCCATTAAGACGAGAGCCAGGATCTTCCAAGGTGCAGCCCAGCATTCTAAGCACTACATTATACTCGCTCTTCGAGGCATATCAGATAAATGCATAGCGGATAAAGCTATCAGTAGTCATAGTGGCAGCGTACTACATCAATTGTCAGAGGCAGTTTGTCTCTCCGAATGAAGACTAGGACAGTACTGTAGTACTCAAATCCTTTCTCTTTATGGGCTTCCCAAAGGCATCTCTTGACACTGTGGGAGTAGAGTATTAGATTAGTTTGATCTGGTTCAGGAAGGCTACTCTTATTATTTATTTGTTTGTTTGTTTGTAGCATTTATATCCTGTCCTTCTCAACCTCTGGAGAGGCTACCAACAGGCACTATTCAGTGCCGACACAAAATAAAACATAGCATAAAATTCAGTTGATACACAACTCAGTATAAAATGCCTTTCTCATCCTTTAGTGAAAATAAACCCCATTGCTTGTCCCATATGAACCTCTCACCAGATACACTGCCCTACTCATCCATCTCACCCAGGGTTTTAAAATTCTACCCTTTGTAATTGGCCCTGCCCACTCGGCTCAATTTTTGTTATTTTATGTTATAACCTGTGTTTATCTTGTATTATTTCCTTTTGTTATAGTTTATTGTAATTTTTTGTATTTTATTTGATGTATTATTTATGATTGTATGTTTCTGTTCTTTTTGCCTTGTTGTAATTGTTGGGCTTGGCCTCATGTTAGCCACCCTGGGCTATTATTATTATTATTATTATTATTATTATTATTATTATTATTATAAAATAGTTAGCCAGTTCAAATCATCATCCTAAAACAATCCATTACCGTGCATTAAAAACATTGTCTTCCCAGCAAGTCAGTCTATTCTGCAAACGCTTGATCCCACATCCAGGACTTGAGTTTCTTCCAGAAGGTCAGGAGGGAGGGGAGGATCTGATCTCGTTAGGGAGGGAGTTCCACAGTCGAGGGGCCACCTCAGAGAAAGCCCTGTCTCTCGTCCCCACCAAATGCGATTGCGGTAGCGGTGGGACCGAGAGCGGGGTCTCATCCAGGATTTGAGTTTTTTCCTGAAGGTCAGGAGGGAGAGGGTGATTCTGATCTCATTGGGGAGGGAGTTCCACAGCTGAGGGGCCACCACAGAGAAGATCCTGTCTCTTGTCCCCACCAAATGTGATTGCAATGGTGGTGGGACCGAGAGCAGGGTCTCATCCAGGATTTGAGTTTTTTTCTGGAAGGTCAGGAGGGAGGGGGCAAATCTGATCTCATTGGGAAGGAAGTTCCACAGCCAAGGGGCCACCACAGAGAAGGCCCTGTCTCCCATCTCCACCAAACACAATTGCGATGGCGGTGGGACCGAGAGCAGGCTCTCATCCAGGATTTGAGTTTCTTCCAGAAGGTCGGGAGGGAGTGGGTGGATCTAATCTCATTAGGGAGGGAGTTCTACAGCCGAAGGGCCACCACGGAGGAGGCCCCATCTCTCATCCCCACCAAATGCGATTGCGGTGGGACCCAGAGCAGGATCTCTCTGGATGATCTTAAAGTCCTTGATGGTTCATAGAGGGATTTACATTCAGATAGGTAAACTGGGCTTGAACTGTTTAGGGCTTTATATGCTAAAACCTGCACTTTGAATTGTGCTCGGAAACTAACGGGCAACCAGTAGAGCTGGCGTAACAGAGGAGTTCTTATGTAGGGCCCCAGACTACAAGCTCAATTCCAAGACTTTGTAGCTAGCCGTATTTCCCCATCACTGTGATACACAGATGTTCTTGGGGAAAATAGAAACAGCAACAAATGGGAAAGTTTTATCCTTCTTTCCCCCCTTAATTCTGCATCCAAGGAACTGAAATCCAAAAGGAGCGGCTACAGATACAGATGGATGAAAGGAGAGATTGACACTATTTTCCAAACCACTGTCTCTTCTCCAACACACAAATACACACACACACAATCCCAAGCATCTAGGTGGAATGTTTTGCTGCAATTCTTCCGACCCAGCTGTGTTGGAATGGAGTTCCCAGTTTCCTCAGGGGAAGCCCTTTTGCTCTCTCTGTTTGTTACATTTGCTCGCCTGTGTATCTGGTACACTACACCCATCTGGGAATTCTGATGATAAAATCATATGCTTAAAAATAGTCCAGCTCTCCCACATAGCGAGGGGCCAGATGGTGCTCGGCTTCGGCTTTCTCCAGCATCGCAGCAAATTCGGGCATTTTGAAGGCATCCCTTCCAGAACAAGAGGTCACATGCACTACACGTTGTGCTTTAACTCTCATGACTCCACGCCAAAGAAATCTGGGAACTTTAATGGGGTCAGCCACCTTAATTTTAGAGAAAAAAAAACATTCAGAATACTATATTTTTAGGAGTATGGAGGGGACCAAATGGTTCATCCTTCTTGAACTAAGTCTGACATTTTTACAAGTTATCTTTTTTTTTTTTTTGAGTTTTAGTAATGAGAGCATAATGAAGCCACACTTCAAAAGCTGTGTAATGAGTGGAAACAAAAGCTGCTTAACTAGTATGCTGAATAAACAGTTTCTAGTTACTTTTCCAGGTTATTTTTCAAAGGATTTTTTTGTAGCACAATGACAGAAGTTTTTCAAGTTTTGTTTAATTCTTCTATCCTTCACAAGGTTAAAAAGAAACCTCGTAAAAGTCATGAGTGACAAAAGTTTTCAAACAATTTAATGCATAACAGGTATAAAATAAGAGAAAATAGAATTATTTGCATTTTAAAAGTAACGTTCTCCATTCTAGATCTGGTGACATGGATATGTGAGGACCCAATATTGTTGTGTATCTTCCCCCATGTCATGCTAAGTCAGTGGTTTTCAACTTTCCTAATACCGCAACCTCTTAATACAGTTCCTCAAGTTGTGGTGACCCCAACCATAAAATTATTTTTGTTGCTACTTCACAGCTGTAATTTTGCTACTGTTATGAATCATAATGTAAATATCTGATGTGCAGGATGTATTCTCATTCACTGGACCAAATTTGGCAAAAATACCCGCTACGCCCAAATTTGAATACTGGTGGAGTTGGGGGTGGATTTTGTCATTTCTGAATTGAGGTTGCTGGGATTTATAGTTCACCTACAATCGAAGAGCATTCTGAACCCGCCTGTGACGGAATTGAACCAAACAAGAAGAAGGAGAAGGAGAAGGAGGAGGAGGAGGAGGAGGAGGAGGAGGAGGAGGAGGAGGAGGAGAAGAAGAAGAAGAAGAAGAAGAAGAAGAAGAAGAAGAAGAAGAAGAACTTTATTTTTCTATCCCACCTCCATCTCCCCGAAGGGACTTGGGGTGGCTTAAATGGGGCCCAAGCCCCAAGGAGAATACAATTGAACCAAACTTGGTTCACAGAACTCCCATGACCAACAGAAAATATTGGAAGGGTTCTTCTTCTTCTTCGTCAACCTTGAGTTTTGGAGTTGTAGTTCACCTACTCAAACAACGAGAGATCTGGACCAAACTACACGAATACTTAATATGCCCAAATGTGAACACAGGTGGAGTTTGGGGAAAATAGACCTTGACATTTGGGAGTTGTAGTTGCTGGGATTTATAGTTCACATACAATGCAAGAGCATTCTGAACCCCACCAATGATAGAATTGGGCCAAACTTCACACACAGAACCCCCATGACCCACAGAAAATACTGTGTTTTCTGACAGTCTTTGGCGACCCCTCTGACACCCCCTCGCAAACCCCCCAGTGGTCCCGACCAGCAGGTTGAGAAACACTGTGCTAAGTCCTTCTTAGTGTTGAAGCAACATATACATGGAAGTATGCCATAGAATCCCAACCAAAGCATGGCCATTGTTATTATTATTCCTTTAATGCCTTGGAAGTAGTTTTGACAGGGACAGTGATATCAAAGATGTATATGTTTGTAGTTTTGATGCATGCAATGCTTCTCTTTTCCGCAGATGTTCCAGTGGATTTGACCGACATCGTAAAGAGTGGTTGGAATATGGCTGTGGCCTAGAGGTAACACTATGGTTAAAAGAATGGAGGAAAGTTAACCTTGAATCATTGTTCAGTTATGTCTCCTTATTTTTACTATATCCCTCTGTTTCAGAGTCTGTTTCAAAATGACAAGTTGATCTAGATCAGTCATAGGCAAACTTCGGCCCTCCGGGTGTTTTGGACTTCAACTCCCACAATTCCTATCGGCTGTTAGGAATTGTGGGAGTTGAAGTCCAAAACACCCGGAGGGCCGAAGTTTGCCCATGACTGATCTAGATTCATAGCACGGCATTACAGTAATAGTCTCTTTAGTTGAGCTTGAGGGAAATATTATTGTATTGTCAGCATTCATATGCATTGAGCCCTGACAATTCGGTCACGCGCTGTGAAGCATTTGCTCGGTTCTTCGCAGACAAAGTCGCTTTGATCCGTTCTGAGCTGGACACCATGTTAAATGCAGTCTCCGTGGATGTGACAAGAGCACCTGCTTGTCCTATTTTGATGGATTCTTTTCAGTTTGTGAAGCCCGAGGATGTGGACAAGATACTTGGAGGAATGAGGCCCACCCCGTCCATCCTAGACCCCTGCCCATCCTGGCTTCTGAAGGAGGCCAGAGGGGGATTGGCTGAGTGGGTAACGGTGGTGGTTAATGCCTCCCTTCGGGAAGGCAAGATTCCAGCGAGCTTAAAACAAGCTATTATAAAACCGCTGTTGAAGAAACCATCACTGGACCCCACTAAATTTGACAACTTTCGGCCTGTTTCCAATCTCCCCTTTTTGGGCAAAGTCATGGAAAGCGTGGTGGCCTCACAACTCCAGGTATCCTTGAGAGACACGGATTATCTGGATCCGGCACAGTCTGGTTTCAGACCGGGACATGGAACTGAGACGGTCTTGGTCGCCTTAGTGGATGATCTGCGCCGGGAGCTAGACAGGGGGAGTGTGTCCCTGTTGGTGCTCCTGGACCTCTCAGCGGCCTTCGATACCGTCGACCACGATATCCTTCTGGGGCGCCTTGTGGAAATGGGTCTTGGGGGCATTGCTCTGCAGTGGCTCCAGTCATTTCTGGAGGGTCGTACCCAGAAGGTGTTACTGGGGGACTCCTGTTCAACACCACAGCCTTTGACCTGTGGGGTTCCACAGGGTTCTATACTGTCCCCCATGCTGTTTAATATCTACATGAAGCCGCTGGGTGAGATCATCCGGAGTTTCGGGGTGCGGTGTCATCTGTACGCAGATGATGTCCAACTCTGTCACTCCTTTCCACCTGCTACTAAGGAGGCTGTCGAGGTCCTGAACCGGTGCCTGGCCGCTGTAATGGTCTGGATGAGGGCGAACAAACTGAAATTAAACCCAGACAAGACAGAGGTACTCCTGGTCAGTCGCAAGGCCGAACAGGGTATAGGGTTACAGCCTGTGCTGGATGGGGTCGCACTCCCCTTGAAGGCGCAGGTTCGCAGCTTGGGTGTGACCCTGGATTCATCTTTGAGCCTGGATCCCCAGGTTTCATCGGTGACCAGGGGAGCATTTGCACAGCTTAGGCTGGTGCGCCAGCTGCGCCCGTACCTTGGGAAGTCTGACTTGGCCACGGTGGTACATGCACTGGTCACATCCCGCCTTGACTACTGCAACGCTCTCTACGTGGGGCTGCCCTTGAAGACGGCCCGGAAGCTTCAGCTAGTTCAGCGCGCGGCAGCCATGTTACTAACGGGAGCGGGACGCAGGGAGCATACAACGCCCTTGTTGTCCCAGCTCCACTGGCTGCCGATTTGCTACCGGGCCCAATTTAAGATGCTGGTGTTATCCTACAAAGCCCTAAACGGTTCCGGCCCAAAATACCTTTCGGACCGCATCTCGGCCTATGAGCCCACGAGGGCCTTGAGATCGTCTGGGGAGGCCCTTCTCTCGATTCCGCCTGCCTCACAGGCACGTCTGGTGGGGACGAGAGAGAGGGCCTTCTCAGTGGTGGCCCCCCGGCTGTGGAACGCCCTCCCTGCTGACATCAGACAGGCGCCCTCTCATGGCTTTCCGTAAGAGCCTAAAGACCTGGCTCTTCGAGAAGGCATTTAACTAGTCCCAGACTAACTGACAATGACAATGACAATCGGAACGAAATACGGATTATGAGACTGGTAGATCCCTATGTGGTGACGGTGCGGATTAGTTTAGTGTAATTTAGATTAAGCGTGTTATATGGTTTGTTGATATACTCTGTGTTTTTTGTAAACTGTTTTTATATGTTGTACACCGCCGCGAGTCGCCCTAGGGCTGAGAGCGGCGGTCAACAAATGCATTAAATAAATAAATAAATAAATATTGCCAGGTCCTAATTGTGAAATAAGAAAGGAACCAATTGTGTCCTTCAACAGCTGTGCTAAAGGGATGCCAATAGGGTCTCTTCCTCCCAAAGCTAACATCAACCCAGGGGAAGGGGATTTTATCAGGCCCATAACAGAAGAGGTAAGTGTTTAGCCACCCACATAGCCTCATGGTCGAAATCATGATTGAGCCCTTATGTGCCTGCTATTTTGATTAAAAATCATTAAGGAACATCACTGTCAATATGTTTAGCATTGCATGTGGTTTGGACCAAAGACAAAGCAAATAGTTAGTGTATAACTTGAATATCCTGTGTGTGGTATTTTTTGTGTGGGTATCAGGAGCAACTTGAGAAACTGCAATTCGCTTCTGGTGTGAGAGAATTGGCTGTCTGCAAGGACGTTGCGCAGGGGATGCCCGGATGTTTTACCATCCTGTGGGAGGCTTCTTTCATGTCCCCACATGAGAAGCTGGAGCTGACAGACGGGAGCTCACCCCGGATTCTAACCACTGACCGCTGGTCAGCAGTCCTGCCGGCACAAGGGTTTAACCCATTGCGCCACCAGGGGCTCCTCCTGTGTGCTGTGATTCTGAACATATGGAGATATTAGGAGTGGGTCTGTATTGACTTATGGGGTTCAAAGAGGAAGGGAAATTGTGTCAGTGAAAAAAATAGGGGAAGTAATTGGATGACATATTTGTGGTCGAAGGATAAACTATAGCAGTTGAAGGCTGTGTATATACCTAATAAGATGAAATGTGGTCAGAGGTGAAGGAGATCACACTCATATTCCACCATACGTGGTGGGAGATGAGAAAAATGGGTGCGCAATGCTTGCTTTGCATGTAATCCATTTAGTCACGTTCCTCCTGCTCCCAAATGATAATAACCCCACTATCTAGTTCTCTTCAAAAGTGTTGTACATCAATCCCATAATCACCTGTATTTTGTATTCCAATATACCTATGGGTTAAGGGCCCCCGGTGGCGCAGTGGGTTAAACCACTGAGCTGCTGAACTTGCTGACCAAAAGGTTGGAGGTATGAATCCGGGGAGTGGGGTGAGCTCCCACTGTTAGCCCCAGCTTCTGCCAACCTAGCAGTTTGAAAACATGCAAATATGAGTAGATCAATAGGTACTGCCTTGGCGGGAAGATAACGGTGCTCGATGCAGTCATGCTGGCCACATAACCTTGGAGGTGTCTATGGACAATGCCGGTTCTTCAAGTTAGAAATTGAGATGAGCACCATCCCCCAGTGTCAGACACAACTAGACTTAATGTCAAGGGGAAACCTTTACCTTTATACATACATATATAAGAGTCATTTGGGGAAAGTAAAGGGAAAATCTTTACTTTTACTTTATACTTGTGGGTCACAAACCGCTGTGGTCGATATTTGGTCCAATTATGATTTAGTAACACAGGCCAAAGGTAAAGGAAAATATGGAACATAAATTGGAAATGTGGATCATACATCTTGAACACATCACTTTGAACATGTGCGTAGATATAAACAGTGTTCACGGAGTTGGGAATAGAGAAGGAAAATACAGTGACAGGAAAAAAATGGCAAGATAATTTGGGCAAAGTTGAGGATGCTGGAAAAGTTGGCAGCTGAATTGATAGTCATTTTAAAAACTGTGCCCATCCATTTGTGGAAGAAGAAAAGACTTAACCAAACACAAAATTCTGAATTAAGGGGAAAATAAAATTGACGGAATTAGAGACAATTGACAACAGACCATAGAAGGCCAGTCCTTGAGGGTGGAGAAGAGAAATTTTTCAAACAGAGAAATATGAAGGATGGAAAACATTTAACTTCTAAGGAAACAAGAAAGAGAAGAAAACTAGCACTGACGGGTTGCCAGAACTACCATGTTATTATGTTATCATAATACTGTGCATAAACACAAAAATATACAAACATGCAAGCTCAGAAATAAAAAAATAGAACTTGGATACCAGATGCAGGATCAGAAATAACGTATGCTGTCAGGACTAAAAATAGGACACAGAACTAGGACAGGGCAGCCGTGGATTGCATGACCCTCGTGTTTTATTTTTCAATCAAATTGTGAAGTCCACCAATGGGCAGAATGCAACATCTTACCTCAGGCAAAGAAACATATAGTTAAAAATGGAGAAAAAGGCACCCCTATGCACATGCCTTATCAAAGAATGTGCAGTTGGTTCTAGAACTAAATGCACAAGTCTTTTCACAGAAAAACCAACTCAAGGACTTTCCCAGTGTTCTTTCTCAGCAACTTTGTAGGAGCAGAGAAACTTTTTGCAATTGTTAGACCAATCTATGACCTTCCAGATGTTGGTCTTTTTTTACTTGGGTGATGGTTGGAGTTTTTATGTAGATATCTATCTGTGTGTGTCAGTTTTCTGTCAACTGTGTGACCCAGTTGTTGATCTGGTTTGTGGATGACTAGCACATCTAGAAAAGGCAGTTTTCCTTCATTTTCTTTTTCCATGGTGAATTGGATGTCATCCGCAAACCAGATCAACAGTTGGATCACACAGTTTACATAAAACCTACACACAGGGATGGCTCAACCCATTCACCTAAAATCAAAGAGCATTCTGAACTACACCAATGATGGAATTGAACCAAATATGGCACACCGAACTCCCATGACGAACAGAAAATATATATCAATGATTGGTGGGCGGGGGGGGGGGGGAATACTGTTTGCTTACCGTTGAAAATTACCTAGGGCCACCTCTGCCTACACACAGAGATAGATATCTACAGAAAAACTCCAACCATCACCCAAGTCAAAAAATAAGCACAATTAAAGCTCTGGCAGACCATGCAAAAAGAATCTGTGAACGCCACCTCCTCCAAGACGAACTGAACCACCTCAACTGGGCTCTACAGGCCAATGGATACTCCACCTCAGACATCAGAAGAGCTGCAATACCGAGAACAAGCCACGAGAGTCAAAACAAAGATCCACCCAGAGAAAAAGTGTTCTTGCCATACATCAAGGCAACCACTGACTACATAGGGAAGCTGATGAGGAAACACAACCTACAAACTATCTCCAGACCCACCAAGAAAATCCAACAAATGCTACATTCAGCAAAGAACAAGAGGGATCCTCTCATCTCTGCAGCAGTCTACCATATACCATGAAGCTGTAGACAAGTCTACATAGGGACCACCAAATGCAGCATTACTCAAACACGAATCAAGGAACATAAAAGGTGTTTATGTTATGCTGTTTTTATGCTACTTTAATATGTTTTTGTTCTGTTTTTAATTGTATGTTAACTTGAGCTTGGCCCCATATAAGCCACCCCAAGTCCCTTCGGGGAGATGGAGGCAGGGTAGAAAAATAAGTTCTCCTTCTCCCTCTCTCTCCCTCCTCCTCCTCCTCCTCCTCTTCTTCTTCTTCTTCTTCTTTTTCTTCTAATATACTCGCATGTGAAATTAAAACACAATGCATATAAGTACGATAATAATGCTTGGAAAAGTAGGAGGTAATAGGAAAAAAAGATGAAATCTGCATTACAGATTAATTGACTTACTCAATGAAGCTACAATTTGTGAGGTTGCAGGACCTAAGGGCTTTGATGTATCTTGTAGATAATATCACAAATAGGGTTGCCATATGTTGAAGTCAACATGAAAACAATTAACAATAACAAGATAGAAAGGCAATAGTGATGGGTTGGAAACATTTGGTCTGATGTATGGTGAATCTAAGTGGGTGCAGCGCTTGGAAAGGTTTCCTCTTTTGACTTCAGTTTCCAAAACCTTCCATGCTTTTCCAAGTTGTGATTTTATCAGTACAGGCCCCACCTAAACAAAAGCAGCAGCAAAATGACTGTGTGATTTCTGGTTGTCATTTCAGTCAGAACAGAAGACCTGTGCAGACTTTGAAGAAGATGAGCATTACTACTCCACACCTCCCAACACCAGTCCATTCACACCATTTGAAGATTTCACGATGTCTTCTTCCCACTTTGTTGACAGCCTAACTACAGAAGGTATTGTTCAGGGTCAAAACATATGGATGGGAGAAGAAAGGAATGGGAGGACTAACCCTGAAGTTAAGTTCTTCCTGACGTTTATCTACTGTGTCTTCTCTCAAAGGACTTGCAGAAACAATGGCAGTTTCATAAATGAGATAATCCTCTTTAGATGTGCTCACAAAACTTTGCTTCCTTGAAGAATGCCATCATAGTTAAACCAATAAATCTGATACTCATCTGATCTTTTCATATAGTTATGAACTACCGTTCCCGTTAGGGAGACGGAGTGGGATGGGTAGAAAAGCACTAGCTGCCCATAGACCATTTCCTTTCCGTTGAGAACAGGGACCATTTCACACTACAAAATTATAACACTACTAGCCGTCCCCTGCCACACGTTGCTGTGGCCGTCTGTGTATAAGTGTTTATGTGTGTGTATATGTATTTATATATTTGTGTATTTCTGTGTTTATATGTGCATATGTATATTGTGTATATATGTGTGCTTGTGTATATGCATATATGTGTGTATATATGTGAATGTATGTGTATAGGTGTATATGTATGTGTGTATTTGTGTGTGCTTGCATATATATGTGTGTGTCTGTATGTATGTGTGCATGTGTATATGAGTGTATGTGTATATGCATATATGATTTATTTTGGGGGGATTTAAAGTCTGTTCTGCTGGCTTTTTGTGTGTTTTTAGGGATGATGGACACTTGTTGGACTATTAGGTGTATTGTGTCAAAATTTCATGTGAATCCATCCAGTGGTTTCTGAGTTATGTTTCTCCCACAAATGAACATATATATATATATATATATATATAGAGAGAGAGAGAGAGAGAGAGAGAGAGAGAGAGAGAGACTTGGTGTACCCACCACACATTGCTGTAGCCAACCTTCCCTCCCTCTTTCCTTTTTTCCACTCCTTCCTTCGCTCCCTCTTTCCTTCCTTCCCTTTTTTCTTTCCTTCTCTCTTTCCTTCTCTACCTCTTTCCTTCCTTCCCCGCTTTTCTTTTCCTTCCTCTTTCTCTCCTTTCTTCCTTCTCTACCTCTTTCCTTCTCTCTTTCCTCTTTCTTTCTTTCTTTCTTTCTCCCCTTCCTTCCCTCCCTCTTCCTTCCCTTTTTCTGTATCGTCATTTACCTTTTGGTCATTTAGCTTTTTGGGGTTTTTAAGCCCTTTCCACTGTTTTTTTTTTTGGGAGGGGGGTATGAGTGATGGTCACTCATTGGTCTGTTAGGGATATAGTATCTAAATTTCATGTCAATTCGTGCAGTGGTTTTTGAGTCATGTTAATCCCACAAACGAACATTGCATTTATATATATATAGATTATGCTACTTCAACTGACATATTTCAATTGTATTGTATCCTGGGATTTGCCATCTAGGAAGAGAACTGCTCATCAAACTACAAATCCCAGGATCTCATAAGATGTAGCCATGACAATTAAAGTAGAATGATAGTATTATAACTATCTAGGAACCCTCTGTTTACATTCCAAGAAGACTTCTCTGCACACTATGCCTAGATACCCCTTTACCTGGCTTTATCCAAAGAAAATACAGACAGAAAAAAAGATGTTTTGTTACAAACCTGTCGTTAGGGTCGACTCTCACAGATACATTAATATACTGCTTGCAGAGAGAGACCACAAACCTAATGGTACTAATTTTGAAAAATGGGTATCAGCACACACATCGCTTCTGCTCTTAAATGAGATATTATTTTTCTCTCTGTTATCATCTTTAGCTATGAGTGCTTATATTTATGTACCTAATCCATCACCAGCCACATATGAGAGGTATCAGCACAATCAGTAAAGTCCAGAGATTTTCAGAAATATAAATAAGTGGGGAGTGCTGGGTTGGGGGGAAGAGAATAGTGATAGCCAAAAAATATCCCAGTGAAGACTAAGGATGCATTTACACTGTCAAATTAATGCAGTTCAACACCACTTTAACTGCCATGGCTTCATGCTCTATAGCATTGCGCTGTGACAGTTAAAGTGCAGTCAACTTGCATTAATTATACAGTGTGGCTACACTTGAAGGAGACATGGTTGCTGTGGGAGAAGGAACAAAAAACTTTTATTATCGTATCAGCCACAAACCAAGGGTACAGTTGTAATGTATTTAAGAAAATACAAAGTTTTAAACTTGGCATTATATTAAATGTCCTTTGACCAGTAGCTGGCCACTTGGAGTGCCTCTGGTGCTGCTAAAGAAAGGTCCTCCATTGTGCATGTGGCAGAGCTCAGACTACATTGTATTAGGTGGTCTGTGATTTGCTCTTCTCTGCACTCGCATGTCGTGGACTCCACTTTGCGGCCCCATTTCTTAAGGTTGGCTCTGCATCTCATGGTGCCAGAGCGCAGTCTGTTCAGCGCCTTCCAAGTCGCCCAGTCTTCTGTGTGCCCAGGGGGGAGTCTCTCATTTGGTATCAGCCATGGATTGAGGTTCCGGGTTTTAGCCTGCCACTTTTGGACTCTCGCTTGCTGTGGTGTTCCTGCAAGTATTTCTGTAGATCTTAGAAAATTATTTCTTGATTTAAGGTGTTGGCATGCTGGCTGATATCTGACAGGAGATGAGCCTTGGTCCTTTCATTATTGGCTACTACTTCCTGGTGGATATCAGGTGGTGCAATACCAGCTAATCAGTGTAATTTCTTCAGTGGTATAGGGCACATACATCCTGTGATAATGTGGCATGTCTCATTAAGAGCCACATCCACTGTTTTAGCATGGTGAGATGTGTTCCACACTGGGCATGCACATTCAGCAGCAGAGTAGCATAGCGCAAGGGCAGGTGTCTTCACTGTATCTGATTGTGATCCCCAGGTTGTGCCAATCAGCTTTCGTATGATATTGTTTCTAGCACCTAATTTTTTCTTGATATTCAAGCAGTGCTTCTTGTAGGTCAGAGCACGGTCCAGGGTAACTCCTGGATATTTGGGTGTGCTGCAGTGCTCCAGTGGGATTCCTTCCCAGGTAATCCTCAGAGCTCGGGATGCTTGTCTGTTCTTTAGAATGGGTGAGAGGAGGAATGGAATGAAGTATTGTGGAGGACAGGACAAGGCTGTCTGTCTAGAAAAGCAAACAGGAGCACTACACACTGCAATGTTTTCTTATAGGTTTCCACTTGTTCCAATTTAGGTAATTTTTCTCCAGCATGAGAATTTCCATAATGCCCCCCAGGATCTTGTTCATAATATACCTATGTTGGCGCCAGAGATGCTTCCCCTTTGAGATTAGTGGCAGGTACTGGTTCAATTTTGCTGCTTAATAGTCCCTGTCGCAAGCTGCTAATTAAAATAAACAGAAAAGAACATTAGTAGCTGCCCTTCAGCAATGAGGGAAAGAGAGGACAAAATTCTTTTGTGACAGACATGACTTTGAAAAGAGCTAATAAAAGATGAGGGAAGAGCCCTCCCTCCCTGCAACTGTAATGATTTCCCAGTTAATTTTTGAATCTTGGCAGGGGGCGAAAGGGAATATTTCCTTTTTTCTTTTTAAATAGCAACGTATTCTAGCATGAAGCTAATTTCCTATCTCAGAAGACAAACAGAGCAGTCAGCTTCAGCAGCTTGGATATTTCCAATTTAATTAGAATAAAATGGGAGGCTAAGCAGATCAAAGTGTTGGGACTCATTATGGATGCTCGTTGGTTGAAAACATCCTTCTTTCACCCAGTGATCTCTGTAGACCAGTGGTTCCCAACTAGTGGTCCACAAGAATGAAAATATTGTCCACGGTTTCACTGTTATTACACCGTTGCAATGAGAGTGACTGGTTTCGTGAAACCCTCTTATAGTGCAGAGGCTTATTAAATATGGTTTTCAGTGGGTGTGCAGACGGCGAATACTGGATGGCATATGTTCTGTATCATAAACTAGAGCTGATGTGGTCCATCCAATGCACCCCAGAAACCCCAGAAAGTTAACCAGAAACTGTTTCGTAATGCTGGAAAATGGTCCCTGCTCAGAATGGTCCCTAGTCAAAGTAGTCCTTGGTCAAAATAGTCCCTGGTCAAGTGGTCCCTCATAAAAAAAAAGGATGGGAACAACTGCTGTCGACATTAAGACCTCTCATCATCCCAACGATGCCATCAAACAACTAGTGCTCCCCAAGGCAGCTATATTACCAGTTATATCGTCACTCCAGCAACATTGGGCCATGAGGGGATCAAGCATTTCTTTCTCCTTTCCCCTTTATCTTCTGAAAAACCCAAATAACACTAGGAAAAATGGATTTCAAGGATAAATATACAATTGTATATTTAACACATGACAAAGACTCCTTAAGACTGGAAAATTGATCAGAAATATAAACTTGATAAAAAAAGTATGATGCATTTTGATTCATTTTTGAAGGCGCATATCTTTTAATATGTTAATATTAGTGGTGCCGTTGAAATTTAGACATCCATATATGACGATATGGCCATTCACAATCTAAATAGGGGGGAAAGATATCTGTTTGTGGCAAAATAATATATGCATGTTCATAACATGAGTTTTCTGCAGTGATTAAATGGTGGGGAGAACATTCCTCTGCCACGTCTGAATATAGTAAAGAAGTGGTTTTCTTTTGTCTTTTATTCATAATGTCCTAAGTCTTGGACACTGACAGTAGAAAGTTATTGACATCTAAGTTGTTGTCTGGATATCATTTGTGTCTTCCACTTCCACGGTGTCCAAGGTGGCATGGAAAATGAAGATTATAAAAGTTATTGACATCTTAGTTGCTGGGATATCATTTGTGTCTTCTACTTCTATGGTGCCCAAGGTGAACATAGAAAATGGAGAAGATTATGAAAGTTAATGACACCTTAGTTGTTTGGATATAATTTGAGTCTTCCTCTTCCATGGTGTCCAAAGTGGACATGGAAAATGGAGAAGATTATGAAAGTTACTGATATCTTAGTTGTTTGGATATAATTTGTGTCTTCCTCTTTCATGGTGACCAAGGCTGAAACAGAGAATAGAGAAGATTATGGAAGTTATTGGCA